GGCGAGGCCCGCAGCAGCATCCGCCGACGCGGCGCGCAGCAGCCCCTGAGCCCTACGCAGCAGCGCTGCATGCGAACGCCATGTAGCCATCGTCGAACCAGCGCCACTGTGCTTGGGCCTCTTGAGCGAATCTGCCAGCTGAAAGCGCCTCAGGCCGAATCCAGCCGCCCGACCTGTGCACGCAGCCCTGCCCCGGCCAACCAAATCGAATAGCGCACAGCCCCTCTCCAACGTCGGCAAACCATTCGCCCCAAGACGCCTCCAAAACACCCTCAACAGCAACCGAGTCACCAGCTTGCCACGACTAGGACCCGCACGAGGTTGCTGAGGGCATCCTGTCGGCAGCTCCGCGGGGAAGACCTCCCATGTCTGTCGCGCGTGGATGGGCAGACTGAGGGGCGGGCCCCTGAGATGCATCGCAACGGCGACATGAGGCGAGGAAGGCGATCCATACAACGCTCGTACATCATTGACGCATGCCTCTAACCCCTGGCTGACAATGAAATCATCCAGTCTGCTCCCAGCCGAAGTCGCGAACTAGCTGGGCCCTGGCGGGGCCACGAGAGTAGCATGCAATAATTCCACCCAGTTGCGCATCCTGGCATCTGCAGGCAACGTGTTAAACGCACCAGCAATGATCCAGGGCGAGCGCATCCGTCGAAGAGCCGTGCCGAGCTCCTGCATCATACCCCAAAAGGCTGAGGGGTTGACCTGCTAAACGTGTCCGCACAGCGAAGCCAGATAAAGCCCTCTCGGGAAGATCACGTTAGCCTTCAGGACCTTCAGTCGCGGGTGAAAGTTGCTGGAAATGCCCATAAACTGGAGCCCAACGCCGACGAACGCGATGTGCGAAGCAACAGCTGTCACCACTCCAGCCGACATTTCTGCCGCGCCTCCACCAGTGACCGCTGCTCTTCCGAATGCTCCATGATAACCACGAGTAGTGAGCCACCTGCGCCGACGAGATACGAGCTGAATCCGCCGGCCTGTGCTCCTGACCGAGCACGACGCGCGGACGCGACGAGCCGCCCCAGGCACGTTGCCAGTCAAGGCCGCACTGCCAGGACTTCCACGAGTTTGCACTGAGGGACCAGAACTTCCAAACCTGATCTGCACGATTCATCTTGCTAAAGCCGCCGACGCTTGAGACCGAGTGCCTCAGCTGCAGCGGCCACCTTGCGCTTGCAGGCCTCCTGGTCTTCGGGCTTGGCTGCCCGCAGCTCCCCTGTGGCCTCGCGCAGCGCATCCGCCTTGGCCGCGTAGTCGCTGGCCGACAACTCGTCCATGTCGACGTCGTCGTCACCCGCTGGCTGAGCGACGTGGTCCTCGCCGTCACCTGCGGAGCCACCTGCGCCGCCGCGAAGCCCTTCTGCCCGAGCAGGAGCAGGAGCAGGAGCACGAAGCAGGTCCAGCAAGACTTGAGCCTGGCCGTCGGCCCCGAACGAGTTGTAGCAATTCTGGAACTCTTCCCCCTTGGCCTGGACCGCAGCGGGGTCGAGCTCGAACGAGAAGGTGGGCGCCTCACCAGGCGGCCCCACACCTGGGCCACCGCTGGCCTGGGCGAGGGTGTCATGTGTTTGCTTCTGCAAGTTCCGCAACTTGACCTCCGCCTCCTGCAGCTGAGCCGTGCAAGCAGCGATGTCCTCGTCGAACTTGAGCTGGACCTTGCGAAGCTCTTCCTGCTTCTTCTTGATCTTATCCCGAAGTCCGTCCGCCGCAGACTTGGCCTTCGAGACCTTCTGATGCAACGTGAGATGCTGGAGCTCGGACGGCCTGGCCTGGTGCAGCTTGTTCTGCAGCCTCGCCACCTCCTCCTTGGCGAAGGCCTGCGCAGCCTCCGAGTTGGCGCTGCAGGCCGCAACTTTGCGCCACGCCTCCAGACTCTGCCTGGCCTCCTCCAGCTCCTTGTTGCCGTTGTCCGCGGGCTCCGACGCCGACGGCGGAGCGGGCCCCGAACCCTTCGCGCTGTCGAAGCCCTTCGCCCCCTGCAGCTGCACGAGCTTCTTCTGGATGTCCGCCAGCGCCTTGGCAGGGCCCTTGTCCGCTGCCGTCGCGCCCGAGCCAGCGCCGCTGCCGCCGCCCCGCGGTCAGGGCTTGCCGCCGCCAGCGCCGCCAGCCGAGGAAGCCCCGCCTGCGACCGCGTGCTCATGCGCACGGCGGGCTGCCGCCGAAATGCGCTCAGGCGCCTTGGAGCCACAACGGCACACGACCCGGGACGCCCAATTGCCGTCTCGGGCCGCAGCGTCCACATCCCCAAGTCGGGAGCCGAGGCCCCAAGAGAACTTCCTTGCGAGCATGACTCCCCATCACAAGCGTAGAAGGACGCAAAAGATGGGAACAGCCCCCAGTTCGGTGCCTGGACGATACTGGGGAACGAGAAGCGATGAAAAGAGCTGGGGCCGTGAATCCCCCCTTTTGGCCACAATCCTGAGCAATGCCTCCGGACTTGAGCCAAAATGGCTACGGACCAAGAGGACCCTGAGAAGCCAAAAGACAACCGAAGAGGGTCCCGAACCGTCGAACGATCGGTCCAAGACGCCCAAGGTGGCCGCCAGGTGGGATCCCAAGACGCCCCAAAACTGCCCCCTAGAGGCCCCCGAGAGCGCTCCCAAGAGACCCGGAGAGGCATCCATGAGGATTCTGACCCGCAACCCAGGCACGGTGGCGGGATAGGCGAAAGGCCATTGAGTTGATGGACGATGAAACCTGCATGGTGGAACCAGGAGTGGGTGAAACAACGATTACGCGGATGCGGCCACCTGGCCACGGCCTGGCGCAGACAGAGATGCTGGAGGCACAATGACGACGACGACGACGACGACGACGACGACGATTCGAGGAACGGCGATCGCTCGCCCGCGCCGCGGCTCCCGCGAGCGACCGACGATCGACGATCGAGGATCGGCAATTTAAGATCGAGATGCCTGGGGCGCACCAGGCACTTATTGGTGCCACAGAGGGCCTCCAAACATCCCAGGAGGCATGCAGGGCGCCATCATTGTCACCGTTGATGTGGTCGCTCCGTCGTCATAGTCGCCATGGTCGCCGCGGTCGTCGTCGTCGTCGTCGTCGTCGTCGTCGTCGTCGTCGTCGTCTTCGTCGTCGTTGTCCTCATCGTCCTCGTCCTCGTCCTCGTCCTCGTGGGCGGAAACCACGTTCTAGTCGTCCTCATCATCCTACTTGCCGTCGCCGTCGTCATCGTCATCCTCTTGGTCTTCGTCGCCGTCCCCGTCGGCGTCTCCGAAGTTCTCGTCCTCGTCGTCGTGGTCGTCGTGGTCCTCGTCGCCACCGCCATCATCGTCCGCGTCGTCACCATCGTCGCCGTCCTCGTCCTCATCCTCCTCATCATCGCAATCCTTGCCGTCGTCGTCTGCACCGTCCTCATCCTCGTTGTCGTCTCGTCGTCGTCCTTGCCATCGTCGTCCCGCTCTTCGTCGTCCTTACCGTCGTCGTCCGCGTCGAAGCCGCCGTCGTCGTCGTCCTTCACCTCGTCGGCAACCGTGGTCGTCCGCATCTCCTCGTCCTCCTACGCACTTGTCGTCGCCGTCTTCGTCGCCCTACTCACTCCTCCGCCCCGTCCTCGTCGTCGTCACTGTCATCCTCGTCTTGATCATCGTCGTCGCCGTCGCCGTCGCCGTCGTCATCCTCATCGTCCTACTCCTCCTGGCGGTTCTTGTCGTCGTGGTCATCGTCGTCATCGTCGTCGTCGTCCTCGTCGTCGTTCTCGACTTCAGTCGATGTCGTCGTCCTAATCGTCGGCGTCGTCCTCGTTGTCGTCATCCTGGTCGTCCTCGACCTCGCCGTCCTTGTCATCGTGGTCGTTGCCGTCGGCATTGTCGTCGCAACCGCCATGGTCGTCGTCTTCGACATTGTCCTTGCTGTCATCGCCGCCCTCATCGTCCTCGTTCCTGCGACAAGATGCCCGTCCCGTCCCTGCCAGTGCCCACACTGCGGAATGTTATGCTGGCCATCTTCAGCATCTGGGGACTTACGCAGCCTCGAGCTCACCCCATATCACTAAGATTGTCAAGCGCAGGGCGAAGGCAATCTCAGGGATGTGCCCTCAGAAGCAAGAGGAATCCTCAAGATCGTCCTCGAGACAAGCTGACGCCAATCGTCGGGATGGGGGTGTGTTTCAAGCTCGTAGGGACTTTCTGCGCCCAGGCAAAGTGGCGAGACCTCCCAAGGGCGTCCATGCGGTGAGACAGTCACGGCGTCGGGGGTCCAGGTCCTCTCCCCGCCCCTCCACTCCTCCCTCCCCTCCCTTCCCCCAGTCCCTCATTCCCTCGGGCGCACGCTAACATGGATTAATGATCCGCGGATCTGGTGCGCGGCCGCCAATTACATGGACCAGGAGAAATACCTCCGACATATGCGACCAATGCCGCCTCAATTGGGGACAACGCGCGGTGATGTTGTATGGAAACGGCAAGCGTCGCTAATCCACGCGCCTTCATCCATGTTAGCGACACCTCGATCTCCCCGCCCAATTTCTTCCTCTTCCCCCTCCCTTCATCTCGCTTCTGTCCTTTCATCCCCTCTCCACATCGCCCTGCCCCTCGACGTGCCTCGAACCTCCCGCGCTCTGTTTCACTGGCCCTTGTTTCTCACCCCTTCGTGGGATCTGACGGTCCTTCTTGGGGAGGAGGTCTCCTGAGGTCTCCAAAAGGTCCCCAGGAACCCCGTGAAGCGTCCAGAGTCAAGAGGCCTCCCGAGGCGCCTGGAGGCAAAAGGTGAAGCAATAGCATCTAGGACATGGAGGGGAAGGAGGAGAGAGGGAGAGAAAGAAGGGACAAAGGGAGAGAGGGAGGAAAGGAAGAGAGAGAGAGAGGGAGGATGAAGGGGGGGAAGGGGTGGAGGGAGGGAGAGGAAGGGAGGGAGTGGAGGACAAGGGGGGAGAGGGGCGAGAGGGGGAGGAGCGGAGGGGAGCGGAGAGAGAGCCCCCCCCCCCACTCCTCCTCGCCCCTCCCCGACCCTGCTCGAGAAGGGCGTGGCCGCTCCCTCGGGGAGTCGACGTCGGCCAGACGGTAGCGCCCTTCCAGGCCGGCGTCGGCCTGCCGGCCGCCCGGGGGCAGAGCGGCCGAGGGGAAAGGCGAGCGCGAGGGGGGCGCACGGCCGAGGCGTCGGCACGGGAGCGCCCGCGGAGGGCCCGAGGAGGCCCGAGGCCCGAGGAGGAGGAGGAGGAGCCTCCTCCTCCTCCTCCTCCTCCTCCTCCTCCTCCTCCTCCTCCTCCGCAACCCCCTCCTCCTCCTCCTCCTCCTCCTCCTCCTCCACCCAGGCGTCGCCGAAAGCCCGAGGCCCCGTGGAGGCACGCCAAGCGAGGGCCGCTCCCAGGTGGAGGCCCCCAAAAAAACGACGAACCTCGGGGTGACCTCCGAGGCGAGGGCTCCCCTTGGTCGTCGTGTCGGCTGCATGTAGCAGCCGTCCAGCACTCGGAGTCGGCGCGGCCGATCGGCACGCGCGACGCCGCGCGCACACAAATGGAAACACTGATGCTTACCATCAGGCGCTGAATAACCAGTTTGCAAGTAACCCGACCGGGCATTTCGAGCTCTCGGCCCCTCAAGGCTCCCAGGAAGCCCCCAGAAACCCCCAAAAGCCTCCCAAGAGGCCCCGAGAGGCCAGTTTGCACTTCGGAATGATGCTTCATACGCCATCGCTAAGGTCACTCGGCGTGAACGCCGTTGAACATGTTGTGTCGCTTGGACAGAAAAGCTTGTATATGTCGCCCCGCACTCTTGGACACATGCCCCCCTTGCTTATGGTGCATTATAAAAGCCCACGAGCATCTTCACTCAATCTGGATCAGACCCATGCGGCCCGTGCGGGTGACATAAGTATGCGCGCGTTCAAGCAAAGGATGCGCTTCCAACAACTTCACTGTTATGTTGCAAGCCGCGGGCGTTGCTCTAAACATGCACGTGTGGTTGCACGCGAAAGCAGAAGGACTAATTCTAGAGAACCGCCCACGCTCGTTCCAGCGAGCACTCGTGCCGCAACGACCTTTCTGCCTGAGCAACCGCTCGCCACGCCCAGCCAGGTCAGAAAACAGAGAAACAACACTAGAGGCCTCCCAAATGGTGTCACAGCGAACGGAGTCGGAGGATCGCGGTGCATCGCCGTTGCATCGACGATGCATCGGCGACGTCGGCGATGCATCGGCGACGCCGGCGAGGGAGAACTCGAACTCCACATCATACTGTATCCCCGGTGCATCGGCGTTGCGGCTCGATCCACCGAACCGATTTGATCGGACTCCATTCGGGTGGCCCTAGAGGAACGGCACGAGCTTAGACGTTCGGAAATCCGCACCGGGTGTTGGTGGGGGCGGATGGTGAATTTGATCCGCAATACAAGCACCCCCTTTCTTCTGTGCGAAGAGACCCATTTTAGGAGGGCCAGAGAAATTAGGGATAAGGGTTTGTGTTCTGCAGACCTTTCGAAAGAAATCACGCACATGTGCGGGGACAAAAAAACAGAGGACATGAGTTAGGCCACAATTTCTGTCAGGGGGTATGTTATGCCTAATCAGAACTAGCCCACGCAGCTGGTCCTGACCTCGACTGTGCGCAGTTCCTGTAAGCACGCAGACGGGTACATACGTCCGTGCAAGTTTACCGATGGTATGGTCCGGGGGCGGGGCGGACCCCTCCTTCGCTGCCCCTGGAGGACCCAGGGGCCGAGGGCGCCCCAGAGGCCTGAAGCGTTGGGCCCCGAGCACATGGCCCCTCACAGCCTGCGCTCCAACGCAGGCAAGCAGACTCCTGGCGGCCAGGGAACGAGGGGGAGGAGGGGGAGGAGGGGGAGGAGGGGGAGGAGGAGGAGGAGGAGGAGGAGGG